CACAGTTTGTTATGATCCACACAGTCAAACGCCTTTGCATAGTCAATGAAACACAGAAATACTTTCCTCTGGTATTCCCTGCTTTCAGCTAATCTGTTTACATCAGTAAATATGTAGTGGCTTTGCCAGTGTTGATCCAACCTGTGTTCCTGGAAGACTCGATTTGATTGTGTTTTGTTAAAATGTGATGGGACTGTAATTAATCCCCAATGTTTTCTCACCAGCTTTTGCATCGTGTTGATGAGTAAACTTGGTTTGGAGTATGTGTCTGTGATGCAGGTTGCTTCTCTGCCCTGGAATAATTTGAAACAACTGGAAATACTTGTTTGTTACAGGTTAGGTAGGACTCATAAAAACATAGACTTGTGTTTACGACTAAACGATCAGCTCCGTTGCCACTGAGTTAGACCTGCGCCATAGCTGAGCCTCTGGTGTAAACGACACAGGGGAGCGTGCCCCTGTTCTCTGTGGGGCCGCTGGTGGATTCTGACTGCCGGCCCCCAGCTGCTCTGCAGGGGAGAGATGGGCAGTCTCCTCCTGTGCAGTTAACTGCCTCTGAAAACTTGCCAGAGGGTCAGCTGTGAGTCGGTGTGACTCTGTGGTCTGCAGCTGGACGGTGGACAGTGACAAACAGCATCCTGCAGACCAAGCCTTGAATGGTGGCCGCCACCTTCCTCGCTCGGGTTTGGGGCTTGTGCCCCTCTCGACATGTGGGATTTCGTGGTGGTATTTGCATGTGTGCGCCTTTTACACTCTCCGAGAACTTACCTGGGTTGATTGTCAGTTTCCCTGTGTGGATTTGTTTTGGAGGGGAGGGAATGTGTGCTGGAGGGTTCTCATGGAATGGCTTTTGTGTTTCTCAGTTAGTTCTGTTCTCTTTCTTCCTGCATTAGACTTGTACTCCCCTCGTTGAACTGTTGATCCATGAGTCTTTTGCTGCAGCTTGCCTGGGGTGGCCACATCTGGCTGTTCTGCACCTGCGGAGTTCTTTGTCCCTGATGTCCAGGTGTTACTTGACAGTGCAGACAGCATTTGGTCATGTGCTGGTACAGAGACGTTCTCTTATTTCCCTTGTTTAGTTGCTGATTTCTAACGGCGTCACGTTGCAATCAGACGGTGTCTCTCATGCTTCAGTTTGTCTTCATTGGACCATTTTCATGATTACACCTAACAGATCTGAGGGCTTCATGTGGGAGTGAGCTTTGTGCCCTCCTCAGCGGTCACTACCATTCCGTTTTCTGGCGCGACCCTGTGTGTAATGGAAGGAGACTACTGACCCTTGACCCTCGGAGTTGGCTGTGCTTGGGACCCTGTGTCTCCCACAGGTAGCAGAGTTATATGAGGACCTGAAGATGCGGATCGCCCAGTTCAACATGCACGTGAGCTCCCAGCGGCCCGCCGTGGACCACGAGTACAAGTACAAACAGCGCTTTGTGCTGCAGGTGTGCGGGGTCCTGGGCTCCGGGCTGTCCCAGAGCGGGCACAGGCTGCCGCCCGGGGGTCCAGGGCAGGAACAGCTGGAAAGCAGGCTCTTTCCAGTGAAATTTTAAAAATTAAGTTAACATTTGTATGGGTAACCCCTACTCTCTTAAAGTGGACATTATGCTACTTCAGTTCTAGGAAAGGCTTACTGGAATATCTATTTACAATAGCAACAACAAACTCCCTCCAAAAAAAAAAAACAAAAGGAACCAGTGGCTGTTCTGCAGTGTCGGGCAGCCTCACCCCACAACAGGCTGCCAGAGCATGGGACTATGTGGGCACGCATGAGTGCTGGCTGACGGTGGGGTCTTCGCTGTGTGCTCTTTGCTAAGGTCTGCTAGGTGACTGGATCTGAGAGTGCTGAAAAAGTTTCTCATACAAACAAATAGTAATTGCTTCTTCCCTTTACACCATTGCAGCTTGTAAAAGGTTTCGAAGCCTCAGTCCTCTGCTTTTCTGTAGATGGGAAAATGCATGAAACCAATTGTTCACTGAACCATTTTCAAGTGTGTAATTCAGTGGAGTTAATCATGTTCTCCATGGTGTGCAGCCACCACTACGTTTTCCAGTATTTTTATTCCCCTAAACAGAGACTCCGTGCACCTTAATCAGCAGCTCCTGGCTGCTCCCCTCCAGCCCCTGCTCACCCCTCATTTTTCTCTCTGACTGTCTTCTCTTAGCATTGCAGAGAAGTGGGGCCATACAGTATTACAGTAGCACTGTACAGCATGAGAATGTGTTTCTTTGCTAGGTTGTACTGGCCGGTGCTTTTTATCCAAATTACTTCACTTTTGGGCAGCCGGATGAAGAAATGGCTGTGAGGGAGCTGGCTGGCAATGACCCGAAGACGACAGTTGTGGTAGGTGGAGTGGATGGGGCCTTCTGTGGAGGGCGGGCTGGGTGGACTGTGGTGGAGTGGACAGGGCCTTCTGTGGAGGGCAGGTTGATCTGTGTTTTCCAGAACTGGTGTCTTTTTGCTGAGGCTGACACACAGTGTCTGGCTTCCAGTGTCCTCTGGTTTAGTTGTAGTAAATGACCTCCTTCCACATTATGCTGGTTCAGCCTCTCCAGACACATCCACTCGTTCCTCACTCTCCTCCACCTGGCTTGCCCTAAGAGAAAGCTCTGTCCGTGACTGTGTGTGCTCTGTGGACTTGAGGGCTCTTGTCCATAAGCTTACGAGCATCTCATTCATTCAGGCCTTCCTTTCTGCTAAGCGATTGTGCCTGGCAGTGAAGCACTGGGCTTTCTACCAGGAGCCCTGGGCCTTTGTGCTCAGCAGGTCACCTGGAGGGTGCCCACCCTGTTGAGCTCTTTTTAGCTCAGCTCTGGGAAGCATGTGGGAAGGCGTGCTGGGACTGAGCACTTCCGCCTGTGGTTGGGTCAGTCTCATGAAGACCTGGCACGTGAGGGCTGTTGTGAAAGCCCCAGAGCTCTCGTGCGTTTGGGAACTGGACAGCAGGGCTCTGCCGTTGGACCCGTAGATGGCTTAGTCAAGGGGAGAGGAGAGATGCAGTCACTGGTAGTGCTTATTCCTGTCATTGACACACAGCGCAGACACTAGGACAGAAGAATGAAGGGCTCCGAAGGGGAGGGCTCACCAGCGGAGCTACAGACCGTGGTGCTAAGGGGAGCCTTGGTGTCCTGGATGCCCAGGGCTGGGCTCTGGTTTGAAAGTCAGTTGTTGGCTTTTGAACTTGGAGTGAAGCGTTGCATTGAGTTTAATGTGTGCTCGCTGGGTGTCAGGATTGGTCATAGTTTCCCAGCTGGTGTGGAATGGGCGCGTTTCTGCTCTTCTCACTGCTGGGGGCTCCTCTGGGCCGCATGTTTAACGGGAGGACCCTCAGGACTCACCCCAGATACAGCATTCTCCTTTGGGGCTTGCTGCCTGAGTCTGGGGTGGAGGAAGCTACCTGCTGGGAGCATGAGAGCTGACAGAGCTGGGTCCACCTCGAGCCAGTGTGGGGAGTGGGCCTGCCAGTGTCGTCCTTGGAGTCTGTGTGTGCAGCTGAGTTGGGGCGGTGGACCTGTTGCCTAAAGATGTGCAGCCATACCGCTTGTCTGGAGTGCCCGACCTGTGATCTCTCAGGGTGAGGAGGGCACAGGGCCTGGTTCCTGGCAGAGCCACAGCATGGTGTGCCAGGAGGACACGTCTGGATGGACACGCAGACACTAGGCCTGGTCCTGCTTGGGAGCCCCGGGTCTGCCACCTCCTGTGGCCCGTGTCCCTGTTAAGTAGAGGTGATGCATCTAAATGAGGGATTTACTCAACTTGGTCATTGTGAGGTAAAAGAAGTAAATAGAAATCTTCATTTTACTCCTGGAGTTTTTAAACAGGGAGGAATTAGCCTTTATTTAACACATATACATTATTACAACTTAGTAATGACTTAAAGTTCATCAGCCATTCACACAGGACCCGTGGAGCCTGGGCGTCCTGGTGAAGGCCATTGGTTTGGGGTGGCAGCCCCAGGGTGGAGATAGCCCCAGGGTGGAGGCAGCCCCAGGGTAGAGGCAGAAGTGGGGAGCTTCTGAGGACAGTGGCCGTGTTCGTTGTGTCAGCGCTCCCTGCTGTCTTGTGTTTTGCAGTTGAAGCACATCCCTCCATATGGATTCCTCTACTACAAACAGCTGCAGTCTCTCTTCCGACAGTGTGGTCAAGTAAAGTCCATTGTGTTTGACGGTGCAAAGTAAGTGACCTGACTGTAAGCAGTGGTAATAGTGAAAAACAGCCTCGAGTAGAATCTGGCCTTGAACTTAGTGCCCTAGCTGCGTGTCTCACAGGCTCACAACTTTCAGGCAGCTCTTGAGGTTCCTTTGTCAGTGCTGGTAGCCTTCTGACTTGAGTGGCCTCTTAAAGCAGCTGTACTGTGGTCAGTGGCCTGGTACCACGTCAGCATCCGGCTGGGTGCAGCAGGCCTGGCTGTGCACACTCAGGGGACATTGCAGTGGCGTCTGTGTGGCCATGGGGAAGTGCTTGGCTGGGGAGCCCTGCTTTTGTCTGCAAACAGGAAGCACAGGGTGCTACCTGTCCTTTCCCAGAGGGAGTGGGGTGCTAAGAGAGGGTCCTTAAAATGGTAAAGCTAGAAAACAAAGACAACAGTGTGGACAAAATCTTTAACTTAAGAAGTTGTGCAAATGTAAATAAACACTTTAAAAAAATTGCTGTCTGGTTAAGTCACGTTGAACATAGTAAATCCATTTTCAATTTGGATTAATTACCTCAGACATTTTAAGTTAGATTTCTAAGATTAAGATACTGATTTTCTTTAGAAGCATGCACATACCCTACAAGACAGTTTATAACCCTGAAACCTAAACCCTTCTCAGTATAACCATTTATAAAAATGCAATAAATTAAACTTCTCACTAAAGGTCTTTTTTTAAATAAAGGTCTTAAGTTCTCTTATACATTCCAGTATAAGTTGCAATTGGATTCTTAATTCCATGTGTAAAACCACTTCTTTCCATCTGAGTTCTCCCCGCTGGTCCAGTCCTATTGCACAGCCGACACCCTCAACGTTATGGGGCCCAGGTGCACACGGTTGCCCTGGGTTTGAGGGCCTGAGCTCTTTGACAGGTGCTCTGGTTATTCTTCCTCTGTAAGGCCTCCTTAATGGTGTTTTGATCGTTTTTGTTGAGTACCATTGAATCAGCACCGGACCAGTTGGTAGCACCATGATAGATGGAGAAGAGATTGAGGTTGTTAACAGTTAAGGCTTGCTTGGCTCCACAATAAACACTCATAACACTAGCAGTCAGGAAATTGAATGAGGAAAATCTGCTGTCAGGGACCTGTCTAGAGTGCTGAAAAACAGTGATGTCAGTCTAGAGATGAAGGTGCGCCCAGGCCATGGTCTTCGCAGTAACTTGCTCTGCATCAGAGAGCTGGATGTTGACTCAGGATGACAGTACAATGATTGACGACTTCGAATTGTGATGCTGGAGAAGAGTCTTGAATGGACCATGGACCGCCAAGGATTTTTAAGCTCTGTCTCACATACTTTGGGCACGTGGCCAGGAGAGATCGGTCCTTAGAGAAGGACATCATGCTTGGTAGGGTGGAGGGACAGTGCAGGAGAGAAAGACCCCGGATGAGATGGATTGACACAGTGACTGGGGCCGTGGGGGTTGGTGTGTCGGAATTAGACTGGCTCAGGACAGGACAGAGCTGCTGTACATGAGGTCACTATGGGTCGCAGGCAACTCGATGGCACATAACAACAACAACAACCGCTGAATCAGAACCAGCTTCTGGCTGAGCCTCGAGTGGATTTTCAGAGGCTGTAAATCTCCCAGGAGGAGAGTGCCCATCTTTCTTCTGTAGAGCAGCTGGTGGATTTGAAACGCATGCTTTTAAATTGGCAGCACAGGTCCTTACCCACTAGGCCACATAATTACATTTTACTGGATTCCTAGGAGTTCTGGATTTTTATATGAGCTTTGTATCAGTTGGTACAGAAGGAACAGTGTTGTTTTGAGTTATTCTAGTTCTGATTCTGATGATTTGAATACTGGTCCATCGGGTATTTCTTCTAAACACGAAGCCTGAGATGACGGATGGACGTCAGCGAGCAGGGCTGTAATGGGCTGACTAGGGTGCGGTGGCGGAGTTTGTCCTGGAAGATGTGGGCATGGTGGTGAAGGCAGTACCACGTGTGCTAACAGTCAGTTACGGTTAGAAAATGTTTCCGGGAGATTGTGGCAGTGTTCCAGCTGAGCCTTGAGTGGCTGGCAGCTGTCCTGGGGGCGTGATGTGGACAAGGTGGAGATGGCCCTGGAGGACTGAGTGTGGGCAGGTGGAGGACAGCAGTGGCGTGTGCAGACACTGTGGAACCTGCTCCTCAGACTACCTGAGGAGGCCTGGGCGTGGGGAGCTGGGACTCCTGTTCCTAGACACGTGGCTGGGAGCCTGCCCTGGCGGTTCTAAAGGCCCAACGTGACCTGGGCTTTCCTGAGCAGTGTAGCGTCCACACGGCCATGAGGGCTGGGTTTGCAACGTCCACATGGGAGTGTCCACACAGCTCTGCGGGCTGGGTTTGTAGTGTCCACACGGGAGTGTCCACACAGCTCTGCGGGCTGGGTTTGTAGTGTCCACACGGGAGTGTCCACACTGCCACGAGGGGTGGATTTTGTTATAAGTTTTCCTCCAGTGCTTTGTGTTGGCTCATTACAGAATGGAGAGTTAGTGCCTGTCTCGAGGTCTGTAACGACGAAAATTCTGTCTAATGTGTGAGGAACGAATGTGTAGTTAGTTCTTCTGTTTTGCGATGCCTGATAAATGTACTTTGCATTTACATTTGTGGAGCAGAGCCTTTGTGGAGTTCTCTCGTAACCCGACAGAGAGATTTACAACTCTTCCTGCAGTATACATGGCAATTAAGATGTCTCAGCTGAAGGTCTCGCTGGAGCTCAGCGTCCACTCTGCAGAAGAGATTGAGGGGAAGGTGCGAGGAGGGGCCGTGTCCAGGCTCAGGAGCACCAGGTATCCTCGGGCGGTGTGGGGCATTGGCAAGATTGTGTCCAGCTTGGCTCTGACTCTGCTGACCGGGCCCACTGAACCACATAACACCAGAAACCTGATTGAAACCAGAACCTTTTGTCTTGATTCACACCCCTCTTCCCTCGTGTGCACCTCTTCACTTGGCACCTCTCTACAGCCCCACCTTCTCAACCTGTTGAGGTGATGAGAGAGGGGAGTAGAATCACTTCCAGGAGTTTCAGTTTAAATTGTAGGGACTGAACTTTTAATAGTCCTTTCCTGGCCCACTCCTCACAGTTATGCATGTCCCTAGGGAATTTTCTTTTTAGGCAAAGTGGGTCACTCCAGGTTCCCAGCAGCGCAGCTAAGGAACAGAATGGACATGGGGCTGGGTCACCTTCCCTGGGCGGCCACCTTTCTTGGGCCCCTTTTCAAGGACAGTTGTTTGACCTGGAGCAGGAGTGCTCTGTGCCTCCCTCCCAGGGCGGCCTCTGCCTCCCTCCCTCCCAGGGCGGCCTCTGGCTCCAGGAGCCTGGCCATTGGCAGCAGCCACATCGCCTGTTACTGTCTCTCACAGGTGCTTTGGCCACTGCCCATGTTCTCACAGGCACACATAGAACATCTCTTCCATCATTTTGTCCTTGTAGTCTGTTTAATACCGTGAGGAACAGGTGATGAATGGGAAACAGTACTATTGTGCTTCACCTGGAGTGCGAGGTTTGGGATCCTTGGAGTTAGGTGGTACCATGGCTCTCATGCTCAGCGTGAGGAAACCTACCTGCTTTAGCAGCTGTCCAGAACTCACTTTTGATTCACAAAACTTGGGACCAAACTTGAGGGTCTTTGCCTGCAAAGTCACCTGACTCAGAGCCTTCTTGCTTATTAAGACGTGAGGCCAAGTATCTCCATAGTAACATGTCCCTTTTACTTTAGATGGTTGTTGTTATGTGCTGTCAAGTCAGAACTGACCCACAGCTGACCATCCAGTGGGTTTCAGAGACAGTTTAATCACACGGGAAGAGACTGTCCATCTTTCTCCTGTGGGGCAGCTGGTGGATTCAGACCACAGGCCTTTGGGTTGATAGCACAACTTTTTGCCACAGAAGGACCAGAGTTTTCTTAGTGTAGATATTGGAAATGTCCCATTTGATCAGAGCCATCTTTCCACCATTTGACTAGCATATTGATTGTCTTGGTCTTGGCTTTCTGGAGCAGCAATCATTGGAGCTTAGATCAAACAGAAAACAAAATGCTAGAGAGCTTTGCAGGCGTCCATGTACCTATGCAAGCCGTTCCTCCAGTGAAGTTCTCCCACCTGAACTGCTCGTAGCAGATCTCCTGTGGAGACCATATGTTAGTTCTAGCAGGTCTCACCAAGAAAAGGATTGTATTAACTCTGATTTCATCAATGACCGCATCCCACTGGAAACCAGAGAACAGGCAGCCATGTTGGCATAGAGCCTTTCCTATCACTGGCTCTGAGGCTTGCTTGACGCTGGAGGATGTGTGGGGAGGCAGCCATCATGCTGATGTGGCCTGAGTGCTGGTGCTGAGACCAGAGCCTTCTGCTTCTGAAGTTGCAGAAGCATTGCTGGTTCTCGACTTGAAATGTGCGCCTGTGGAAGCAGATGCCCTGCAAAGCCTTGCGTTAGGATGTGCCATTCTCAGTGTGTAACTGTCAGGTACCTCCTCCTGCCAGAGTGGTGCCCACTTCCTGCCTCAGCTGATGTGTGGGCAACACCCAAGGTTGCCCAGACTCACTTACCTTGTGAAGCCACATTTACCCTCTCTGTCTTGGACATTTGATAGGAACAGCAGAGCAGTTCCACACAGTGCCACGTAGACAGACATGTAACACTTGATTCTTGTGTTTTTACAAAAATCATGCCAAACAGGGTGAATGTGGACTTCCAGAAGCAGACCCTGGACCCCATGCAGGTGTCGTTCAGTACACTGGACAGGGCGAGGTCGGTCACAGATCTCCTCCTGACTGTCGACGTCACAGAGGTGAGAGGGCACTGGCTGAGCTGTTGGAGACACGCACGTCCACGTGGGCACATGTGTGTAGATGCTGTGTGGGAGCTCCCCTTCTGGTGGGCTTTCCAAGGCAGCAAATCACAGGGGTGGAGAAGTGACCAGGAAATAGGATGGGCTGGAATCACTGGACCTGTTAAATTGGGGTGTGGCCTTGATGGCAGTGACACAGGGATGTTGGTTAACGGTTCAGTTTGTTTTAGAAGATTGCCCATTGATGGGTCTCAGTTGCCCTCATGAAAGTTTCCAAGTCTGCAAAATTTGAGAGAAGTGCTTGTTGGTTTCAGTGCCAAGACACATGCTAAACGTATCCGTGGATTGAAGATATGTGCCTGTGGAATCTGTATTTATGTACAAAACTGATATTGACACACCTTTTCTTTAGGATGTGGTTTTGCCTTACTTAGAAGGTCAGTTAAGAGGAAATGTTTCTTAATAAAGCTGTAGCTACACCTCACTTGGGAGATTGTAGACTGGCGGAACCACAGGTAGAAGTGAGTGGAAGCTGCTTTGCAGGAGCCCTGTGTGTGGCTGGAGCCTGCCCCCACCCCCAGTCCTCTCCCTCCTCTGGCCCTGAGCACTACAACAGGCACCAGCCAGTCGCAGGAGCCACTAGGCTTAAAATCTTAGACTAAACAGGCCAAAAGGTGTTTCTGTTCTGTGGCTCTGTGAATCTGTGGTGCTAGTGAATGGATGAGTCTTGTGCACCTTGACAAGGGTAGTTTTCCAGATCGCCTCACATTATCTGACCAGGAACCACCCGTTTGCTGCCTTCATGGACCTGTTAGACCTATGAGCGTAGACCCCTCGGACATCAAGGGTGGCAGTGGGGGTGCAGGGCTATGTGACACCGATCAGGTCCCCTCATTCCTGCTTCTCTTCTTCTCTTCAGGTGGTTGAAGTGGGGCACTTCTGGGGGTACAGGGTTGATGACAAGCATTCAGAGGTTCTGAGAAGGCTGACTGCCGAGATCAACCAGCTCAAGTTGGTGCCCTTGGCCGTTCACCCCCATCCAGATTTGATCTGTCTGGCGCCTTTCAACGACCTGGAGAAACAAAACTACTATAGAGCGCAGATCCTATATGTGTCTGGAGATTCTGCTGAGGTCAGCCCCTTTCCTGTGTCCCTCAGAGGCTGAGGTTGGCTCCTGTCCCGTGTCCTGTGTCCCTCAGAGGCTGAGATCAGCCAGTGTCAGAGACTGAGGTTGGCCGGTGTCCCAAGTCCCTCAGGTGCACACAAGACGAGCAGCTCATGCAGAAACGTAAGAGTGTTAGAGTTTGTCAGGTCACCCCGGTGATTTTCCTCAGTGAGTCCTGACGTTGCCTCCAGGTCCCTGAGAATCCTGGGGTGACAGTTGCAGTGCTTCTGCTACCTGAGGAGGCCCGTGTGTGGCCCTGAGGTCCCTGGGCATCCTGGGGTGACAGAATCGTCATGGCCCCTGTGCTGCGGGAGGAGGGGGCATGAGCGTGACCTTGACTGAAGCACATGACCCTCTTCCCAGGTGTTCTTTGTAGATTATGGCAACCGGGCTCATGTGGACCTGGACCGTTTAATGGAGATCCCGTGTCAGTTTCTGGAACTGCCGTTTCAGGTGAGCAGGGGAGGCTTAGGGGCCTAGGATGCTGGGGAGGACCTGTGTCTACTTCCTGTGCAGAGTGCAAGACTGGGAGCCTCATGTCACGACCTAACTTGGATCCACTCTTGCCCACATTGCATTGTTACAGGTGTTTATGTCACAGAGACTTAAAATATGTGAAAGGTTTCAAACTTAGTAGAAAAAAAAATCAGATTTTTAAAATTGGAGTTGCATTTTCTAATATTCTTTCTAAGGTTTCTAGTTTAGGTGAGGGGGGTGCAAGTGTGTTTTACTGTCCAGTCAAAACTGACTCCTAGCTGTTCGTACATTGGGTCTTTGGAGGCTTTAAGTCGCATGTGAGGAGCTCCATCTTTCTCCCGTAGAGCAGCTGGTGGATTATAACTGTGCGTTTGGGTTCTCAGCACAGTTCCTTACCACTAAACCACCAGAGCCCGTTAGGGGAGGTGGTTGTTGTGTTGTTGATTGCCGTCTAGTCAAGCACGACTCGTAGCGACCCTATGAACAAAATAACTTAGCAACATTTACCAAAGTTCATAGAGTTTCCAGGGGCATGTTGTTTAGGAAGTGGATGTCACTCCTGCTTCCAAGGTGGGGTGGAGGTATATTCAAATGCCTTGTTTTCTATCATTATGAAAACAATCCGACAGTTGGGAAAGAAAAACAAGTTTCTTTACCTGGAATAGCAGAATTTAGCACAGAATTGATTTTCATGAGGCCTTGGTGGTAATGCGAATTGCAGTGGTTGACTGAGATGGCTTTTCAGAGCATCTGGCTGCTCCGTCAGCTCGGAAGCGATTCTAGTCCTGCTCTGCTCTTCTGTCCTGCAGGCCTTAGAGTTTAAGATCTGCCAGATGCGGCCCTCTGCCCAGTGCCTGGTGTGCGGTGAGCACTGGAGCTGCGGGGCCAGCAGGCGGTTCATCTCCCTGGTGCGTGGCTGCACACTCCTGGTCAAGGTCTTCTCTGTGGTGCACTCCATCCTGCATGTTGATGTGTACCGCTGCACAGGGGCCCAGGACGCCATCAACGTGCGGGACGTGCTCATCCAGGAGGGCTTCGCGGAGCTCACTGAGGAGTCCTATGAGTCCAAGGTTCGCATCTGCCCGCCCTCTGTCTGGGTCCTCGTGTGCATGCCCTGAGCCCCTTGTTCATGCTGGATGCTGCGCCTCATCCCCACTCCACACGCCTGTGTGCACTTTTCTGGAACTGAAGTGCGGTGGTGGGTGCTGGGGGTGCTGGCTTCCTCGTATTCACTGTTGTTACTTCTTCCTTGGGAAGAAAATTAGATTTTAAATATGTTTGGCATGTTTTTAGACTCCCAAGAATTTTATTTTGCTAGATAAGGAAAATAGGCTGTCAGGGACTTCTCCTGAGCACTGAAGAGCAACAATATCAGTCTGGAGGCTAAGGTGAGCCTGATTCAGGCCATGGTCTTTACAGTTACTTGCTATGCATCAGAAAGCTAGACAATGACTAGGGATGATAGAAGGAGAATTGATGGCATTTGAGTGTGGTGCTAGATAATAGTACTGAATATACCATGGACTGCCAGGAGAACAAAAAGGTTTGTCCTGGAGAGGGTAAAACCAGGATTCTGAAGCTTCATCTGACATACGTTAGGCATGTTATAAGGAGGGACCAGTCCTTGGAGAGGGACATAGTTTGGGAGAGTGGAGGGACAGTGCAAGAGAGAAAGTCCCTGGAGAAGATGGGTTGACTCAGTGACTGGGGTAATGGAGGTAGGTGTGTCAGAGACAGTCAGATTGGCTCAGGATAGGGCACGTTTCAGAGTTGATGTATGTAGGGTTGCTGTGAGTTGCAAGTGACTCAGTGGCATCTAACAGCAACAACAACGATGGAAGTATTTTTATTGGGGAAAAAATGTAGCCGCATTATTCACCATCACAAGAACATAGAAACAGATGTCCAACCACAGTCAAATGTATTGAGAAATTATGGTGCGTGGACATGATGGAATACTACACAGCATGCTGGAGCAATGATTTTGAAAAATCACTGCCCAGTGGGAGGGACCGGAGAGTGCCATGCTGAGTGAGCTAACTTGGGCCATAAGGACAAGTGCTGTATAAAACCATTGTTGTAGAAATAGATTACTTGTAAAACGTGTGTGAGTATACAAAGCGGGGATGATAGGAGCAGAGGGGTTAGGATAGGCATGGAGGTTAATTATGGGATCAGACAATTTGATGGATAGAGGGAGTGGTGCGTAAAGAAGATGGGGTAGATGATTCAGTGTGAAAAGCAGTGTATACAAACTTTATATATGCGCCAAGTGAAAATATTTTACCAAATCTTGCAGTCCGAAACTGATTGAACATGCTATCAGGATGCATTGATGTTAATTGATGGCTGGAAAGCAAAAGTTGGAAACAATGAAGAAGGAATAGAAGTTGGAAAATAAGGGCTTGATGATAAAAATGAGGCTGGAAATAAGATGATTGAATTTTATATTTTCAATGATTCATTCATTGCAAATACCTTTTTTAAAAGACACAAATGCCTTTACACATGAATCTTACCCGATGAGCTTCATAGGAATTAGACTATATCTGTGGAAGGAGTTATGGGAGAAGCTTAGTATCTGCAGTCAAAACGGCCTGGGATGGACTGTGGGTCAGATCATCAATTACTCATGTGCAAGTTCAAATTGAGGCCAAAGAAAATTAAAACAAGTCCACAAGATCCAAGATAGGATCTTGGATGTATTTCATCAGAATTTCAAGATCATCTTAAAAATAGATTTGAGGCCTTGAACGCCAGTGATTGAAGATGAGGTGAGTTGTGGGATGATAGTAAGGATATCTTCCATGAAGAAAGCAAAAGTTCATTACAAAGACAGAGGAGAAAGAAAAAAACAAAATGACTGTCAGAAGAGACTCTCAGAATTGCACTAGAGCATTGAAAAGCCAAGAGAAAAGGGACACATGCCACAGTAAAAAAGCCGAACAGAAGATTTCACGACAGATCAGGAAGCCAAAGCAAAGTATTCTAATGGACTGTGCAGAGAGCTGGAATTAGAATAAAAAAGGGAAGAACTCATTCTGTATTTCTCAAGCTGAAAGAACTGAAAAAAAAAGATTTAAACCTCAAATTGCAGTATTGAAGGATGCTATTGTAATATATTAAATAACCCAAAAAGCATCAAAATAAGATGGAGGGAATACACAGGATCAGTGTACCAAAAAGAACTGACTGACACTGAGAAATTTCAGCAAGTATTATATGAGCAGGATACTAATTGACTTGTTTCAATTAACGGACGCAGTCCTGGATGTGCTCATCAATCCATGGCAGGAAGTTTTTGAGGACCGCTGTCTGGACAACATATTGGAAGAGGTCCATATTTGTCCCCATTCTCAAGAACGGTGATCCAACTGAATGTGCAAACTCTTGAACAGTGTCGTTAAGGTTACATGCAAGCAAAATACTGCTGAAGATCATTCAAAGATGGCTAGAACTGTACATAGATAGGAAACTGCCAGAAGTTCAAGCAGGATTAAGAAGAGACCATGCACCAGGGATATCATTGCTGATGTCAGGTGCATCCTGGCTGAAAGTTAAAAAATACCAGAAGAATGTCTATTTGTACTTTATTAACTATGCACAGTGCTTGACTGTGTGGATCATAACAAGTTATGGTTAACAATCTCAAGGATGGGAATCTCAGAGCACTTAATTGTGCTCATAAGAATCCTCTACCTAGACCAGGATGCTGTTGGGCAGACAGAGCATGGGAACACTTATTATTGCTGTTTTTATGTGCCATTGAGTCACCTGTGACCCATCGTGACCCTATGTACAGCAGTCTGAACCCTGCCCTGTCCTGAGCCAGTCTCACTAATTCCGACACATTGCCCCTAGTCACTATATTCAATCCATCTCATCGAGGGCCATCATCTCCTGCTCTGTCCTTCCAAGCATGATGTCCTTCTCCAAGTCTCTTCTGGCTACATGCCCAAAGTATGTGAGACAGAGCTTCAAAATCCTAGCCTCCGAGGAGAGATGTGGTTTCTCCCTCTCCAGCCCAGACCTATTTGTTTTCTTGGCAGTCCGTGGTATGTTCAAGACTCCTCCAGCACCATACTTTGAAGGCATTGATTCTTCTTCTGTTATCCTCAGTCATTGTCCAGCTCTCTGATGTAGTGCAAGTAATTGCGAAGACCATGGCCTGGATTAGGCGCACCTTAATCTCTAGACTGAGTTGTTGCTTTTCAGCCCTCTAGAGAGGTCCCTGACAGGTTTTCTTCTGATTTCCTGACTGCTGTTGTGAAGAGTGTTGATTGTGGAACCGAGCAAGCTGTAATTGTTAACAACCTCAATCTCTTCTCCATCTATTACGGTGCTGCCTGTTAGCCAAGTGGTGAGAATCTTTGTCTTCTAGATGATAAACTTCAATCTATATTGAAGATTACAGTCCTGACCTTCTGCAACAAGAGCTTCAGGTCATCTTCAGTTTTAGCGAGCAAGGTTGTGTCATTTGCATAATGTATGTAGTTAGTTGATGAGTCTTCTTCAACCCTGGTGCCACATTCCTCCTCATAAAGCCCTGCTTCCTCAATGATCTGTTTTGCATATAGATTGAAAAGGTATGGAGACAGGATGCATCCCTGACACACTCCTTTCCTAATTTTGAGCCATGCAGTGTTTCCCTGCTCTGTTTTGAGGACTGCTTCCTGGTTCAAGTGTAGGGTTTGCATAAATACAATCAAGTGTTCTGGGGTTTCCATTTTCTTCAAGGTTAACCACAGTTTGTGGTGAGCCACACAGTCAAATGCCCTTGCATAGTCCATGAAACTCAGATATTCCTCGGGTATTCTTAGCTTTCTGCCAAGATCCATCTGACATTGGCGACGATGTCTCTGTAGTGCCATGACCTCTTCTAAACCCAGCTTGTATTTCTGGTAGGTCTCTGTCACTGTACTGCTCCAGTCGTTTCTGGATAATCTTCAGCAAGATTTTGCTAGTGTGTGATATTAGTGATGTTGTTTGATACTTTCCACACTCTGTCAAGTCACCTTTTATGGATCTTGCCAAGTAGTTTTCCTCCAGATTTTTTCTGTAAGGGAAGTGTCTTTCATCTGCTTGGTCTAATGCATGTCTGTCAGATACTGTTCTAAAATTAAGCATCACAATAAGACAGACTAGGAAGAAGGATTGGCCAGCCATTTCCAAAATATAACAGGCCTTTGAGAACCCTGTGTACAGCAGAGCACACTTAGAGTAGACTAACAGATACGACGTGAGGCTGAGCCCTTAAATTTGCAAACACAAAGGAGTAGAACAACTGTAAAAAGAAACCAGTGATTGATACATGGAATGTGAGAAGCATGAATGTAGCAAGACTAGATATTGTTAAGAAAGAAATGGAAGGCAAAAATACTGACATAATAGATATTAGTGAAACAAAATGGATTGGCATGGGACATTTTCAATCAGATGATCATAGGATCTATGCTGGAGACAAAAAGGTGAGGATAAACACAGGGTCACTTTAATAGTTAAAAAAGGCCATTTCTAGATTGATCTTGAAATAGAGTATTGTAAATGACAGGATAATATCCATACACATACAAGGAAGACCTGTTAATGCCACTATCATTCAAATATGTGCCAACAACTAGCACCAAAGAGGAGGAAATAGATGATTCCTACCAGATGTTACAGTCATAAATTGATCAAACATGTAACCAAGATGTGTTAATACTAATGGATGACTGAAAGTTGGGAAGCAGGAAGAAGAATCAGTAGTTGGAAAATACAGACTTGGTGGCAGAAATGAGGCTGAGGATAGAGCAATAGAATTCTTCAGTCAATGGTTTATTCATACGCAGACACCTTTTATAAGAATCATATACACAGGATATACACAAGGATTTCACTTGAAGGGGTGTACAGGGATCAGATCTATTACATCTGTGGAAGGAATCATTGGAGAGGTTCAGTATCAGCACTGAAAACGAGGCCAAGTTGTGGAACAGACCAACACCTGCTCATACACAAGTTAAAATTAAAACTAAAATCATACTCACAGGAATCAGTTTGATCTTGAGTCTATCCCCCCTGAATTTTAAAACCAGCTCAGGAACAGGTTTGAGGCCTTGAACACTAATGAACGAAGACTAGAGGAGCTGTGGGAAGATACCAAGAATATTGTTCATGAAGAATGCAAAAAGTTTTTACAAAGAAGGAAGAAGAAAAGACCAAAATGGGTGTCAGAAGAGATTCTGAATATGGCACTAGAGCACTGAGAAGCCAAAGCAAAGGGAAGAAATCAATAAGGTAAGAAGCTGAATAGAATATTTCAAAGGGCAGCTCGGAAAGGCAAAGCAAAGTATTATAATAAAATATACAAGGAGTTGGAGTCCGAAAATCAAAAGGACTGAGCTCACTCAGCATTTCTTAAGCTAAAGGAACTGAAGAACAAATTCAAGCCACAAGTTGGAATGCTTAAGGATGGTATACGCAGAATATTGAATTATTCAGGAAACATTAAAAGAAGGGTGAAGGAGTATACTGCATCATTGTACCAAAAAGAATTGGCTGACACAGAAGAATTTCAAGAAACAACATATGATCAAGAGGCAGTGGTGATGATGGAGGAAATTCAGGCTGTTCTGAAGAACTTGAGGGGGGGAATAAAGCCCCAGGAATTGCTGGAATACTAATTGATGTATTTTAGCAAACAGATCCTGCCCTGGATGTGCTCAAGAAGCAGTTGCCCAGACAAAACAAGGAAACAGTCCTTGGATTAAAATTAGGAAACGTATGCTTAAAGGTTGTATCCTTTCTCCATACCAATGCAAGTCTGTATATGAAGAAAATAATTCCCTTTGCTGGGCTATCTGGAGAAGAATGTGGCATCAGGAATGGAAGAAGACTTACCAGCAACACGCATTATACAGATGACACATCTTGGCTTACAGAAAATTAAGAATACTTGAAACAATTACTGAAGAAGATCAAAGACTATAGCCTTCCACATGGGCTACATCTCAGCATCAAGGAAACAGAATGCCTCCTGTTGGGCCAGTAGGCAACCTCATGATAGATGGAGAAAATTTTGACGTAATCAGTGATTGCATTTTGCTTGAATCCACAGGTGCCCAGGGGAGCAATAGTTAAGAAGTCAAGATATGTTGCATTGGAGAAATCTGCTATCAGGAAGCTTTTTAAAGAGCAGGATGACAATCTAGAGTGAAGTGTATTTGATCTAAACCATGGTATTTTAATTTTCTTCCTTTGCATCTGAAAGTCAGACAGTGACTTAGGAAAACGAAAAAGTTCATGGCTTTGAATTGTGTGATGTTGGAGAAGAATATTGACTATTCCATGGACTGTCAAAAGAACAAACACTTTCTCTTGAAGGACGTACAACTAGAGTGCTCCTCAGAGGACAGAACAGTTACACTTTGTCTCCTGTACTTTGGGTGTGTTGTCAGGAAGGGCTTTAGCCTTGGAAAAAGACATCCTGCTGGGGAAGATGGGAGGTCCATGAAAGAGAGGAGAGCCACCCCGAGATAGGTTGACACAGAGACTGAACGAATGGAGCTGAGCATGACAGAGACCACAAGGCCAGATTTTGATCTTGTTTATTGTATCACTGTGAGCTCTGGTTGACTCGAAGGCACCTAACAGCAGCAGTGCACAGGGGCCAGGAGACACCTGTCCACGTGCAGGCGAGGAGCCCTTGAGGCAGAGCGTTTTGGTAGTAAAGGGACAGACCTTTGATGGGAAGATAATTCCCCAGTGAGGTGGGCTTTGGAGTGCTGCCCTCATCCCTTTGAGCCCTCAGCAGCAGTGCACTGGCCGTGGTGCTGGGCCTTAGTGAGGAGCAGGGCCTCTGGGCATCGTGGGTGATGGGAGGCACAGCCAGTGGTGGTATGACGGGAACCCACGTCTGCTGAGCCTCTCTCAGCTCCTGCTCACGGGGATCACTCTCATGTTTGTTCTGCTGCTCTGTTAGCTGACTGGTAGACCTTGTGCCAAGAAGATCTGATCCTTTACGTTCTCTGCAGGAATTTGTGAAAAGCACGTTAGGGAATTATGGTAATATTCTGTGTAAAGGTGGTCCTTTTTCTGGTCTGCTGTTTTCTCACTTCCCATTCTACTCCCCTGAAGGTAGAGGAGAGGACTGAGAGAGCCTTTCCAGTCCTGTGTGAGTTCTTATTTGCATTTTCAAAATGTACTTGACTTACTGATAAAGACACTCAGCGGAACTGGGATAGAAGGGAATTTATTCAACATACTGAAAAGTACATATGCAAAACCAAGAGCCAACATCATTCTCAACGGTGAAAGACTAAAAACACTTTTCTTGCAAATAGGGACCAGATAAGGATGTCCACTGTCACCACTTCTTTTCAGTATCGTATTGAGAGTGCTTGCTAGGGCAATACGACTAGGGAAGGAAATCAAAGGCATCCAGATCGGCAAAGAGGTGGTTAAACTGTCACTATATGTAGATGATATGATAGTGTACACAGAAAACGCCAAAGAATTAACAAAATAACGGTTAAGTGTTAATAGGAAAATTTAGTAGAGTGGCAGGATAGAAGATCAATATCCAAAAATCAGTAGGATTCCTCTACAGTGACAAAGAGAACTCAGAGAAGGAAATCAAGAAAGCAGTACCATTTACAGTAGCCAATCACAAATTGAGATATTTGAGAGTGGACCTAACTAAAGATACAGAAGACCTATGCAAAGAAAACTACAGAGCATTTCTGCAAGACACAATAAAAGACCTAAGGAAATGGGGAAATGTGCCCTGTTCATGGATAGGAAGAGTCAATATTGTGAAAATAACTATCCTACCAAAAGCAATCTACATGTTTAATGCAATCCCAATCTAGATACCAAATTTATTTTTTAAGGAAATTGAAAGAGAAATTTCCAAATTTTGAGAGGCAAGAGACCCTGAATAAGCAAAACACTTCTGAGAAACAAAAATGAGGTTGGAGGAATAGCACTTCCTGACCTCCAAACCTACTACTACACAGCGATAGTAATCAAAACAGCATGGTACTGGTACAATGACAGGCACATAGATCAATGGAACAGAATTGAGAACCCAGAAATAGACCCAGCTATCTATGGTCAACTGATACTCAATAAGGAAATCAAAGCTATCAAATGGGGAAATGACAACCTCTTCAAATAATGCTGGCAAAACTGGATTTCCACCTGCAGAAAGCTGAAACAGGATCCATATCTCATACCATACACAGTAATCAACTCAGGATGGATCAGAGACCTGGGAGTAAAACCCCCAAACCATAATGTTCTTAAGAGACAAACTGGGATCAAGCTTAGAAGTGCTAGTCCAAGGTATAAAGAGACTTCCAAATACAACCAGAAATGGACAATCTGAAGAGGATAAAATTGATGCATGAGATCTTCTAAATATTAAATCCATGTGTTCATCAAAAATTTTTTCCAACAGGGTGAAAATAAAACCTACAGACTGGGAACTAACATTTGGTAATACCATCTCAGAAAAGGGTCTTAGGATAAAAGTTTACAGATACTCCTGGTCCCCCACAAGAAAAAGACTGATAACCCAATTACAAAATGGAAAAAGACATGCAAAGAATTTTCACAGAGGAAGCTATTCAAATGGCAAACAGACATATGAAGAAATGCTCCAAATCATTGGCAATAAGAGAGATGCAAATCAAAACCACAATGAGGTACCATCTCACTCCAGTAACAGTGGTAAAGTTTAACAGGGCAGCAAGTAATAAATGTTGCAGAGGATGTGGTGAGAAAGGAACCCTTAATACATAGTTGATGGGAGCGTAAAGTCACACAACCATTCTGGAAGGCAGTTTGGCGCCTCCTCAAAAAAGCTAAACTTAGAAATTCCATATGACCTAGCTATTCCACTACTTGGAATATACCCTGAGAAAAGGAGAACTGAGGCACAAACTAAAATTTGTACCCCAGTGTTCATAGCAGCATTATTCACCATCGCAAGAACATGGAAACAGCCTAAATGTCCAACCACAACCAATGGATTGAGAAATTATGGTACATTCACACAATGGAATACTATGCAGCACGCAGGAGCAGTGATTTTGTAAATTATTACCTAACTTGGAAAGGACTGGAGAGTGAGTGAACTAACTCAGTCCCACAAGGATAGCTATTGTATAAAACCATTATTTGAGAATGAGTATAAGGATTCAAGAGGGGTGAAAGAGGCTGGAAGCAGAGGGATGAGGATGTGCAGGAGGAGAGGGGGATTAATCATGAGGTGTACAATTTGATGGGTGGGGGGGTGAGGGAAATTGAAAGAATTTGTTCTTGAAAACTTCGAATTTTGTAAATAAATTGGGGGGGAAGTACTTGGTTATGTAATCTGCATTTTAGTGATAGAGTGATTAGTTAAGAATAAGATAATGTTTGTAAAAATATAAACTTTTAAAAAAACTTTTTAGTACAACCTTTGTCTCTTAATAAGGTGGGGTTTTTAATTTTTTTTTTTTTCAGCAAAGCCATGAAGTTCTGAAAGGTCTGTTTTCCCAGTCAGTAGAGAATAGTTCTGTGACAGACGTGTCTGTGCCATCCCCTGTGAAAGATGATGAGAAATACCTGATCCGGATTCTGTTAGAGAGCTTCGCGTCTAACAGACTCGGTGCCCCGAACTGCAGGGTAATCTTTGGGACTGTTCACAAATACCAGTTAGCATTAAATCACTTCTAACTTGCCACATTTGTAGTTGGGACTGGTCACCCTGATAGGTCATTTCCTCTTTCAATTCTTATCCTGATGGTTCTGTGTCTTACAACAGAGCCTGTAATCCTAACACAGATACATGTTTTTAATGTAGAGAGAAGGTTTAAATAGTGGGGATTTTGGTTGGTTGGTTGGGTTTTGATACCTTGTTTTGGTTTTCTGCTGTCTCTCCAAATGCAACAACAGGTCGAGAATACACTGATGGGCCTGCTGAGGGCCTGTCCTGACTGGCCCCCCTTCCAGAACATGCGGGTGGGCCTGCTGAGGGCCGGTCCTGACTGGCCCCATTCCAGAACATGCGGTGGGCTTGCTGAGGGCCGGTCCTGACTGGCCCCTCTTCCAGAGCGTGCTGGTGTGCCTTCTAAGGGCTGGGCCTGACTGTCTGCCCATCCAGGCCAGCCCACCAGTGGCTCAGCAGCAGACTAGGACCCCACATACTTGCTCTATTCCAAGAGAAGACTTGGGGCTTCCTCTCCTGTTAGGAGTACTGTGGGTGTCCCTGTCACTGCACGGGTGGGCCTGTTAACAGAGGAATACTTTTACTCCATTACTTGGAAGGGTTTTGTTACCTCTTGGGAATGGGATTGTAAATGTTCTTTAATTCATGTTTGTAGGAACATAGGGCGATCTTCACTGAGTTATTTGCATCTAAGGAAAAAAAGTCAGATTTTTTTTTTTCACTGAATCTTGAAGTTATGATTGAGATCGTTTCTTTTGAAATGTATGCGCCAACTTCTGGGATTTTTAAATTGTGTATTACATGTTCTCTTGCTGAGTGATGACATTCTGTCTGTTTTTAAAGGCAGTACTTCATGGGCCTTTTAACCCTTATGAACTGAAGTGTCACAGTTTGACCAGAATATCCAAGTTCAGGTAGGATGATGCTTCCATGGCAGTTTTTATTCTCTGCTCCTCTGTCTACAGAACTGATCAGGGGCTAAACTTGCTCATTTTTGTATTGTGTTATCTTTCCTAACTCATTTCTCCCCAGCTCCAAGTCTGAGGTGTCCTTGCTTTGATGTGAAAGCTGTTCTGTGTAGTAAAATATCTTTGTGTTTGACTAGACACTGTCTTCTCTTTTTATGATGGTCGTTTCTTGGTAAATCTGTGCCTGTCCACTGTGTGCCCAAGTCGGAGCACAACTCAGGCAAAGGTCCTGAGCAGCACGTAGTGGTGTCTTCACAGAAACGACAGTGCAGCGGGGGCCTGGCACTCAGAGTCTGCAGAAGGCCCTGAGTGGTTGGACCATCCATGAGCGGTGGGGCGAGGAAGGTTTGGGAGAGGTCCTGTGTGCAGAAGAGGGCAGGAGGGAGAATGGACATCGGCATGTGCTTCAGGCTGCCGTGACTACATCTGCACCTTCGTCTTGCCTGAGCCGCGCCACCTGCCTGGTTGGTGCTCAGGGGACCCCTACCACCGTCTGTCCTTTTTATAGACGCGTGTGGATTGAGAAGGAGAGCATCAACTCTGTCATCATCAGCGATGCTCCTGAAGACGTCCACCAGAGGATGCTGGTCGCAGCTTCTCTCTCAGTCAATGCAACTGGTAATGCAGGGCTTTGGCTCTCTCTGTGGCCTTGGCTTGGCCAGCAGCAGGATTCGTCCGGTGACAAAAATGGGCACACGGGCTGCCTGTGTCTGCTGCCTTCTCTGTGTGTTTGTGATGCAGATTGAAGGAATGCAAACATGTGTCTGCTGCTGCTGTGTGTGTCTGTGTGTCTGTGTGTGCGTGTGTGTGAGAGAGGGGGGGGGCGGGAGATGCATACTGAAGGAATGCAGACATCATGTCTTATTCCATGCAAAGATGTGACAGTGCTTTGCTCCCTGGGATGAGCTGTGGAGGAGGCTGACCCATTGCCAGGCCGTCGAACAGCCTAGGGGTTAGGGGAGAGAACGAAGGAGCTCTCTTGGGCAGATAAAGGCTTGTGTGTTACTGGATGGGGTTTCCTGCAGGTTGCTGTGGACGGAGAGTGAGAACTCTGAACTTGCAAGTGGGATGTGGGGGCTACTGTGGCCCAGGGAGGATGGCCACAAGGCCAGGTGCTGACTCTGATATCCATCTGGCAGGGTCCACCATGCTGCTGCGGGAGACCTCTCTGATGCCCCACATCCCAGGCCTGCCAGCACTCCTCAGCATGCTGTTTGCACCAGGGATGGAGCTGAGGTGGGTGAGGCAGGGTGGCAGTGCCCAGGGGCAGGGGCAACTAGGCCTGCCCCCACATCTGCACTTGTGATGACCCATCCAGCTGCTGGTTGAGCATTTCTGGGTTCTGGGCACCCCTGAGTGTATGGTGCCTCGTGGGACCTTGGGAAGGCACAGGCCTTGTAGGACCTGGATCTTAAGGCATGCAGGTGAGAACTGAGCAGAAGCCAGGCTTGTGGCTAGACTTTGGGTGTTCTGTCTGTGTGACCCTAAGTTTCCTGGCTCCAAGTCCATCCTTCCTGGGTGGGTGAGGTGTGAAAATATTGCTTAGCTGGCCTGTAGCCAATCTCACTGTCTCCCACACACTTGCCACTATCACTCCAGTCACCATGTCAATCCAGCTCACCCGGGGTCTCCTTCTCCTGTGCTGTCCATCCATCCACCCTTCCAAGTATGATGTCCAAGGACTGATGTCTTCTGGCCACATGCCCAACGTATGTGAGATGGAGCTTCAAATCCTCGCCTCCAAGGAAAGACTTGGTTTCACCCTCTCCAAGACCTGTTTGTTTTCTTGGCAGTCCACGGTATGTTCAGGACTCTTCTCCAGCACCACAGCTTAAAGGCATCTATTCTTCTTCTGTCATCCTTAGTCATTGTCCAACTTTCTAAAGCAAAACAGGTAGCTGAGAAAACCATGACCTGAATGAATTAGGTGCACTTTTGCATCTCGACTAACATCGTTGCTCTTCAGCACTCTGGAGAGGTCCATAACAGCACATTTTCTCAGTGCAGCTCATCTTTTGATTTCCTGACTGCTGATGTTAAGGGTGTAGATTGTGGATCCAAGCAGGCTGTAATTGCTAACAACCTCAGTCTCTTCTCCATGGTGCTGCCAATTGTTCCAGTGGTGAGAATCTTTGTCTTCTTGATATTGAGCTTCAATCCATATTGAAGTCTACAGTACTTAACCTTTTGCAGCAAGTGCTTCAGGTCTTCTTCAGTTTTAGCAAGCAAGGTTGTGTCATCGGCATATGGTAGGTTGTTAATGAGTCTTCCCTCAGTCTTAATCCCATGCTCCTCCTCATACAGCCCTGCCTCCTGAATGATCTGTTCTGAATACAGGTTGAAAAGGTACGGGGACAGGATGCATCCCTGATGCACTCCTTTCTTGATTTTGCAGTGTTTCCTTGCTCTGTTCTGAGGACTTCTTCTTTGTCCAAGTATGTTGTTGTTGTTTGGTGCCGTCGAGTCGTAGACGACTCATAGCGACCCTATGAATGAATGGCCTGAGCACTGTTCATACATAGAGTTTCCGGAGGCAAGCCATTTCGGAAGTGGATGCCGCTCCTGCTTCCAGGCTTGATTTAGTCGGGAAGCTCCAGCCAACACTGTCCATCATGGGTACCCATTACCACGATTGGCACATCACTGTCACAGTCTTCAGCATCACAGCAACCACGAGTTACCTCTGTACAGCAACGCACAGACCAGTCCTATACCACCTAGAAGAATGTTTGTCCAAGTATAGGTTTCATATAAGCACTATCAAGTGTTCCGAGATTCCCTTTTTCCTCAAGGTTAGCCACATCTTATTGTGATCCACACAAATGCCTTTGCCCGTCTTCTCTGCTTTCTGCTGTTGTGGGTGGGCAGACTCTGATCCACAGACGCTGTCTCCTCTGCCTTCTGCCCAGGCTACCACGTGCTGCGGCCGCTTCATGCTCAGGATGGCCTTTTGAGAAGCATGGGGTGTGGGTAGGCGGACTTCTGTAGCCACTTAGCTCAACTGTTGTTTGGTTTAAAGAGACTTTTGGATTTACATTTTAGTTCTGGGTAGTAGGTCTGGGAATCCATCCAGGTCTGCCTTGCTCCAGGAAGGCTAGTTCCTTAGGGCCCTGAAATTCTGTATTTCACCTTTTTGGATCGGCTGCTTCTATGGAATCCTTGTTCAGAATGTTCAGTGTTGGTGGCAGATGCAGGAGGTGATTTTGGTTTTCGGGGATCTTAGTAAAGAACACTGAGTGGTGAGGTGCGTCCAGCCTCTGACTCCACCGTGAGTATTGAGGCAACATTTGGGAGAGTTTTCATGGTAACAAGAATTCTGTACAAAGTGCTGCTTGTGAGTGAAGCACTGAACGGGGCGGTTGAAGTTGTCAGAAATGTCATTTTACTTGAACCCGTAGTGCCGTTGTAGCAGCAGTCCAAGAATCAGAGGCATATTGTATTGGAGAAATAGGCTGCCTGAAACCTCTCCAAAGTGCTAAGGAACAAAATGTCACTTTAAAGACTGAAGTGTGCCTAATTCAAGCCTGGGTATTTTAGTTGTTTTCTCTGCACCTGCGAGTTGGACAGTGAATAGGAAGGCTGGAGAGCCAGTGGCTTTGAGTTGAGGTGTTTGAGGAGAGTCCTGACCATCCCGTGGACTCCAAAAGAATGTAGAAATCGGGGAGGAGGTGCAGGCGGAGAGCTCCTTAGTGGCGAGGAGGTCAGACTTTGTCTCACATACTTCAGGTGTGTTTTCAGAAGGGGTCATACTGGAAAAGTAGAGAGTTGGTGAAAGAGGACGACCCTTGAGAAGATAGAGGGACACTGATGGTACCAGTAGTGTGGAGTGTGTGAGGAGGGCACGGCACAGGGGAGTGTCTGATGGGGCCTTCAGTGGGTCATTAGAAGTGGTCATCTGCTCAGTGACACCTGACAACAGAAAACAGCAGGGCCTTGGACAGAAAAGAGGGAGATCCCATCTTTAAGACAGGGTGGAAATGCCACAGCAGATTCTGAGATGAGGTCTTCCAGGAGCTGGGCCATGTGGAAACTGCCCAGGCACTGACCTGTCCTTCTGGTCATATGTAGAGTGCCTGGCTGAGCTGGGGCTGAGGTGACCCAAAGGCCCTGGCATCTCTTTGTCCCCTCTGCTGATACCTACTCAGGAGTTACTGTTGTAGTCACAATATTGTAGTGACTTTCCTGAGTTTAAAAAAAATTGTGCCCAGTCCTTGTTTTCCATCAAAACATGCACTCTATGCCACAACCTGATGAGCCCGGGAAGTGCCCCACTAGCAGACAGAGCGAGTCACAGAGGGATGCATCCTGGTGGTCCCACCGGTGGGGAAGACACGAAGGTGCAGAGTGGTCATCCAGGTGGGGGTGGTCGGTCGTTGGAGATCATGAGTTGATGCGCATGGTGGGAAAACCCAGAAGGGGACAGAACTTAGAGGGACCCAGCATGAAAATGTCGTCCTACAGAACGACGTGTGTGGCCACAGTGTTCTGCACACACGCACCAGTGCCGGCCAATCAGCTCCAGCTCCCAACCGCCCTGCAAGACAGAGGACAACTGCCCGTGGGCGAGCCAAGGCCCTATGCTCTTTAGGAAGCAGATAGTCACTTCCTGCTCCTGGGTGTGAAGTGGTGACCTGTCAGAAGCTGAGCGCTCAACCACTGCTCCACCAGAGCTGGCACTGCTGCCTCGCCGGGATCCGTGTGCAGTGAGCGGCGCCGGGTGACCCTGCTTCACCTGGGTCCGTGTGCAGTGAGCGGCGCCGGGTGACCCTGCTTCACCTGGGTCCGTGTGCAGTGAGCGGCACCGGGTGACCCCATGGAAGAAGCAGTGTCAGCTCAGCCCCCCCCCAGGCTTTTCCTCTTCCTTACGGGACAGCACAGAGCACTTTGTTCTGGTCTAAGTTGCTGTGAGTCCATACCCGCCCTGTACCCCAAGAACAACACATGGATGCTGTGAGCATTGCAGACCCTGCAGCAGGGAGTCTTTCCTGTGGAATCTCAGGTTGATAATGGTTACATTTTAAAGCAGCAGTTGTTCCTTAGTGGGCTCTCGTTAGCTTGCAGTAGGATTACTCTCCACTTTGAATGTATTGGTCTGACCGGTGCCCCGTCCCCCAGCCGTACCCCTCTCACGATGCTGCAGCGTGAGCTTCCTCCTCCTGTGCCCATGACATGAGCACTCTGCAGTGTGCTCTGCTGTAATCTTGTGATAGTTAAAATTTCACTTTGAGTGTAAAGTAGCTTGAAGTGAATTAAAGGTGTTTTCTGTTGTGTTCATTACAATTCCTTAGGTTCGTAAGAAAATCTCAGCCCTTGAAAGGTGACTAGGTCCCATGCTTGGGGTACCTTTCCTGACCTGATAGGTTAAGACCTCTAGCAAAGAGACTGAGTGAGGTTTTGTTGAAATTGTTGAAGAGAGCCTTCTCTTTGATTCTGGCAACCTCTGGCATTCTTCGTTACTCCGTCCTGGATCCATTCTGACTCCTGCACCCCACCTTCTGGTTTGTAAGGCTGTCAGCCTTTCCCCCCCTTCTTCTTTTTTTTTTTAATTAATTTTCATGAACGTTTACAGAGGCTTTGGATTTCCATTCATTCATTGTTGCACTTTTCTCCCTGCTCCCCTCCCCCCATTTGCTCTTCTTTTGAAAAGTAAAAGAAAAATTTTTATTGTTATACAGTCCCTCCACTATGCAGCGTTTGTCTTGGGCTCCTGTCATGACAGTAATACCTAATCATATATCCCTTTTAAACAGTTCTCCCCCTCATCTGTCTCAATGCAGTATACATTTTTTATCCATTTTTCTCAGTCTCCCTACAACCCTGATGTCAGTCCCTTTTTACAAGAGTGGCATTATGCAGTATTTGTCCTTTTGTGACTGAGATATTTCACTCTAAGGCTGTCAGTCTTAACAGTGGGAGGAGGCCGTGCCTCTTCCTCTGTCAGAATAGTTGGTGACTCCAAGCTGCCACCTTTTCATTGAGGAGCCCTGCACATTGGACTCCACCTCCCAGGACTCCTAAAGTGATTTGGGGGACTGCTTCATAAAACAAGTATCCTCACATTTGTAAGTCTGGACTCTTTTATTCATAAAACTAAGAAATCTTAGCTTTTGAACTGGAAAAGCTCTGCCTTTGTCTAGAATTTTTCATCAAAACTTAATTGTTCTAGACAATGGGTACATGTTGGCAGGGAGGGAGGGGTTATTAAGAATCAAAGAAAATTAGCAAAATACTGCAGATTACATTTGGTATTATATTAATGTTTGTTCTTTTGTCTTATAATTGTTAAAGCTATCATGAGTCCTGCTACTTAAAGTGATATCTGAAAAGGTGGAAGAGCCTGGTAGGTGGTGGTCTGGGGCCTGGAGGGGCCTGGGAGTTGGGCTTCAGGGGCCTGGTCAAGCTGGAGAGAGGACATGGGTTGGATGGTATGTGCCTCGGCTGGAGGGACAGCTGGAGGGCTGAGTGGGCACTTGAGAAGACTTGAACTGGCTAAGCAGAGAGGGCTCACCCCTGACTTGTAGATGCTTGTAAGTGCATGCTTTCTGCTGACTGCCCCTCAGTGGGGGATGCGGCTGGTCTGTTTCTTAAATGACTGCTGCCTGGGAGCAGGGTAAGCAGCAGGAGGCGGCCAGGGACTGGCCAGGAGGTTCGGTTTGAGCCATGCTGACTGCATGGTGGTGACAGGTGGCGGCTTGGAGCAGCCTGGGGGCAGTGGGAGAACTTCTGGAGTGACAGCTCCTGGGCAGGGGGTGAGTGTGAGTTTTTGGTAAATCTGACAACAGAACTTTAATGACATACATTTTTGTGATTCTCTTGGTTAGAATGGGGAAGTGGAACAACGTCTTACAAGCTCGCACTAAGTGCTAGACTTCTTTCACAAGTTATAAATATGTGTACACCATTTTCTCAGAAATCTTAGTCATCAGAATTTAACCCCTGGAGGAATTCTGAGGTGGGGAAGAGAGGTTGTCTGTTAGAATGTTTTTTACATCAACTCCAGCAGAGAGTTTTAGACACTGAAGATGGTGTAGGGGTACTGGTGTCGTAACTCCATGGGAGGAGGAGGATCGTGATCAGAATCCACGCCCAAGGCTGCTTCCTGTGAAACACAGTCAGACTACCTCCTCTCTCTACCTTCTCATGATTCTGCCCCCACTTGTCCCTTCACACACACCCTGCTGGGCCCCAGGATGCGTTGTGATGACCACTGGTGATGTTGTGGGAGGGTGGCGGGTTCTGGTTTGGCGTTGGGAGCGACTCGGGACGGGTTTGCGGCTGTGGCCAAAGCCCAAGCCTCCCAGCTCTCCACGGACTGGTGCCTGGAAACGTCCACTCCTCCAGTAGACCTCCTCACTGCACGGGCCTGGATGGGAAGCTCCCGCGCTGTCCTCCTGGGCTGCTTCCGCCGCTGCCGTTTCTCAACATCTTGCGCAGTCTCTCCTCACCGCTCGCTCGCTCTCTCACTCTCAGCCTCGTTCTCGCTGTCTTGTGCTCTCACTCGGTCTCTGTCTATTGGAGCCACGAGGTCCTGAGTGCAGGGACCCTGCATCCAAAGGACGTCCTTTCCTAGGGATAGTAGGATTCCCCCTTCCTGGTTCTTGGGTGGCTCGTTTGAGATGGAGCATCGGGGCTCCAGATGCCGCGTCCCTACAGAGGTGCCACACACCTTACTTAACGTTATTAAAAAGCTCTCCAGTCCCTGTGCTGCAGGCACATGCTCTTTTGTTCTGCCACCTCGTCACTTGGTGGGAGTTTATCACACTTTGGTGAGAAAGGCCATATAAAAAGAATTCTTAAGATTACACAAGCCTAAATATTGCATAATAAAAGAATTTATTCTTCATATATTGAGATTGTGAATAGCTTCTGTTTGCTTGGCTCCACAATCTGCACTCTCGTTACCAGGAAGTAAAAAGACAAATTGTGTTGGGAAAGTCTGCTGTCAGGGACCTCCCCAGTGAACTGAAGAGCAACAGTGTCAGTCTAAAGACTCAGGTGCACCTGATCCAGGCCATAGTCTTCACAGTTACTTGCTATGCATCAGAAAGCTGGGCAGTGTGATGCCTTTGAGCTGTGGTGCTGGAGAAGAGTGTTGAGTATACCACGGACTGCTAGTAGAACAAACAAATTCATCCTAGAGAAGGAGAAACCAGACTGCTCCTTGGAGGCAAAGATTCTGGGGCTTCATCTGACATACTTTGAGCATGTTGCAAGGAGGAACCAGTCCTGGGAGGAGGGAGAGACAGCACAAGAGAGGAAGACCCTTGATGAGTCGGATTGATTCAGCGACTGGGGTAGTGGGGGCAGGTGTGTCAGAGACAGTAAGGTTGACACAGGATAGAGCAGGGTTCAGGGCTGTTGTACAGGGGTCGCGGTGAGGCACGAACCACTTGATAGGACATAACTTTAGGAGTTCTTTAACAGTGAAATGGTGCTTTGACAGTTTTGAAATTCAGTCTTCTCAAAACACTTTCTTTAGGATCGATCGGCATGGAAGATGTTATACCGGAGTCCTCTGTGGTTTGGGGTGGAACCCCACCACCGGAACCTCCATCTTTCCAGAGCACGACATTGAGCTTGCGTTTGACGTTCAGTTCAAAGTGGAGGATGTTGTGGAGGTAACTTGCCACAGTGTCCCCGCTGTCACCTTCCCTCCCTCGCTTTGCCGACTTGTGCCTTCAAGAAGTGAATGCCGTATCTGTTTAGATCCACCAGCATCTAAACCCCTGTGCACTTGAGGAGGGATGCTCACACTCAACCAGAGTGATTCCCAGCCAGTGAAGCGTCAGTCACACCTCCACTTGGCAGCTGTTTCACCTTTTCTGACACCGGTTGCCCCTCCATGCCCCCGACATGCGTGGCACATTGCAGTGACCACACAGAACCCATGGACCACCCTTACTAGTAGGTGGTTATGAAGGAGGTCACAGGTTGTGACTCAGGATCAACTAGCCCTTGAAGGTACAGCTCAGATTACAGGACACAGCTCATCAGTCAGGGCACCTTCCACCCAGGATGGCTCTGACCCCTCCTCAGTCATGCCGACAGACAGACTCTTGGTCTGCCAACCAGTAGCTTTTCTCTTGGCCGTGCTACCCTGCAGGCCTTTTCTAGACCTCAGCGCTGCCTGGGCAGTGTGACCGTACTTTAGTGCCTGGAGGGAGGCCTCGCCCTCCATCACCAAGCTCCTGCCCACGGCTTCTGTGCCATCTCACTGCATAGGTCAGTGGGCACCACCACAGCACCTGCTGGCTCCAGGGAGCTCACTGCTCAGACTCTATCTGCTGCTGTTCTCTGATTGGGTCTGCTGTGGTTACCCCGGTTTCAGCATCTCGTGCCCTCGTCCTGTGTCTAGGAGATCCTCTGCGGGGGCCCAGGATCCAATGATGCACTCCCCTGTGGTCTCTGTGACAGGGATGAAGTTCTCTAAGCTCTACGGGATGGGCCCTAATACTCCCCTGCAGGCAGGATCCTCCTTGCCAGACCTTGAACTAACCAGTGCACCGGCTGCTGCCCTGGCACTTACTGCTGCTCTTCGCTTGCCTGGCTTGGTCAGCTTTCCTGGGAGAAGTGACTTCCTGTTGAGAAGGTGTGCTGAATCCTGCACTTGGTGCAGATCAGCACTAACTGAACACCATGGCTGGAAAGGAGGGCCGAGCTCTGCCCTCCCTCCATGCTCTCACGGACACAGGTGCTTTGCTGGCTAAGTCACGTGCTGCCCTCAGTGGGTCAGTCTGTGAATGAAACAAATGCTCAATTCAATAGACTGCAGCTGGCCTTGAGAATGGGGTTCTCAGAACACCTGATGGTGCTCATGCAAAACCTATACTTGGACCAGGGAGCAGTCATCAAAACAGAACAAGGAAACACTGCATGATGGTTCAATTTCAGGAAAGGAATGCATCAGGGATGCGTCCTGTCTCCATACCTTTTCAGTCTGTATGTGGAAAAGATCATTTCTGAGGCTGGAATCTATGAGGAGGGAATGTGGCATCAGGATTGGAGGAAGACTCATCAACACGCTGTGATATGCAGATGATAAAACCCTGAAACTGAGGAGAACTTGAAGCACTTGCTGCAGAAGGTCAAGGACTATAATCTTCAAGGTGGATTGAAGCTCGACATCTAGAAGATGAAGGTTCTCCCCACTGGGCCGACTGGCCATGATGGCACTTCCTCCAAGACTTATGTCTTTGTGCTTTTGGCATTCTCTGGGATACTCAGTACTCTTCTCCAGCATCATAGCTCAGAAGCATCAGTGAGTCATTGCCGAGCTCTCAGATACACAGCAAGTGACTGGAAACACCACGGCCTGAACCAGACACACCACACCTTAGTCCTCAAACTGATGTCATTGTTCTTCTCCAATAATTTCTGGAGAAATAATTAAAGTCTCAGTAATTTGGAGACTCCACACTTGCCCAGTGCGATACGTTTCCTGATTTCCCAACTGCTGGTACCAAGGTGTTTATTTTGGATCCGAGTAAGGTGAAGTTGTTGACAGTTGCTGAGTAAACAGAGCGAGGGAACACTACCTTTAAGGACTGATGGGTAAAAAAACACAGGCTTGGTGACAGAAATGATCAAATGATTGAATTTTGTACCATCACTGATTTATTCATTTCAAATAATTTTTTTTTAAAATGGTGACTGTAGACGTGGACCTCACATGATCGACTACGCGGGATCAGATTGGCTAGAGCTGTGGAAATACCTGCAGTCAGAACCAGCCCAGGGCCTGACTGTCAAACAGATCATCCATCAGCTGCTCATGTGTGAATTCAAAGTGAAGTTGAAGAATGATATTAAAAGAAACCAAATGGGACCTTAAGTCTGTCCCACCTGCATTTGAAACCCATCATAAAATAGATTTACTGCGTTGAGCACTAATGATCGAAGGCCAGATGAGTTGTGGGATGCCATCAAGGATGCCACCCATGAAGAGAGCCGGTCTGCCCAGAGGGTTCATTGCCGTATCCTGGTGAGCCCGACACAGATGCTCACGGGATCCTCCCCCTCCATCCCTAGGCTCCACGTACCTGTGGTGAGTGTGCACCCTGCAGAGATGGCTCACATCCTGTGCACATGGCACGTCTGTGCACTTCTGAGCAGACGGTGGTCAGTTCTTGGCCTCAGTGAGAGGACTGACTTGCAGATGAAGAGTCTGTCTGTACCTGCAGCCACTCTCACAGGTTTTCAGACCTAATAGAAGGAGGAGTGCAGAGGCAAGGGACCTTCTAAAAGAGCAGTCACCCAGCGAACAGGCTCTCACGCCTCAGAGAGGGCGCTTGGGAAGGATCCCCGTAGCACATGCTGTGCCAGAGGGCACCTGTGGTGGAGAGAAGCTGCTTGCTGACATGCCTGAGATGAGCTGAGAGTCTGCACTGAAGAAGAGAGGAACTCTTCCTTCTAGGGAACATTCTGGACTCCAGCCTGCTGCTTGATCTTGTTGATGCTGACCCTGAGTTGGACCCTGTTGCTCGCTCACTTGACATTACATAAGGTGATTTGAGTTCAGTGTGGTCACTGCAGCAGACTGTTGAACTCAGAGAAGTGGACAGTGCTGCGGGATGGGCAGCTGGTGTCACAGATGGTCAAAAGGTTGGGAGGTGGTCTGTGAAACCTCCGCCTCGTGGGGTTCAGCCTGGAACCAATGGTGTCTAGTGCCCCCCTCCTGAAATGAGAGTTCTGTGTGCTGTGGTCTCTCAGATATGGACTCCAACGGTTCCTCAGTGGTTTCATGCATTTGTGGTAGTGGCTCGTGACTGTCTATGTTGCTGTTTGTCTACAGATTAATATTCTCAGAGCGGCTATTAACAAGCTAATATGTGATGGACCTAATGGATCCAAGTATCTCGGGCCAGAGAGAACTGCCCAGTTACAAGGCAGCGCACGCCAGAAGCTTCTGAGGTAAGTGCTGTGAGCGGGTAAGCTGCTTTCCTTCCCACCCACGGGATACGGGCGGTGGGCATCCCAAGTGGGATTCTGGTGTCCAGTCAGCACCTCCCACCTCGTCCAGCAGCCAGACGGGGCCCAGGCAGTCAGTAAGCAGTGGTCTCCCGAGGCACAGGTGGAGCCCAGGGAACTCACCTGGACAACTCAGTGCCTCCCAGTGGTCAGTGGTGGGCAGCACTGGAAGATGCCTCAGAGAGGGAGCGGGCGGCGCTGTGCTTGCGCCTGGCCCTAGCCGGGGAATAGCACCCTGACCTCTTCTGGGCCTCCCATTAGCAAACTCAGCCACAGTCCAGAGGGCAGGGGCTTCCATGTTGTGAGCTCAGGTCAACCTCAAGGGCCCCAGAGAAGATGAGCGGAGTGGAGTGTGGATGGAAGGGCCCTAGTAGCGTCCAGCACCTCTATCCTCCGTCCTCTCAGAGACCACTCAGCCAGGCTGGTGGCAAGGACGGACTGCACGGTGCTTGTAATGACAGGGTGACATCCTCCCTCCTGTGTGTCTGGGACAGTGCAGCCCAGGACTCAGACATAAGGTGAACATCCCACGGGCCAGCTGCCAGATGAGCGTGGGTCAGTTGTCCAGGAAGGCCTCAGTGTGCACTCAGTGGCACTGTCCCCTCACACTGCACATGGCTGTGTCCTGACTCGCTAGGCCATCAGCTCAGTGGATTTGGGTTTTTAAAAAACTATTCTGAGCATTTAGAAGTGTTTCCACAATCCAGTTTTACTGTCCTGTGGTTTTACTTGGAGTTCCTGTCCATGATTTCTTAAACCAGGTAAACCACCCCTCAAGTGGATGCTCGCTCACAGCCCCTACCCAGTGTCCAGGTCCGGGGGCCCACGCGGTGTGCTAGGCTCTGTCCTGCGAGCGGCAGGCAGGCTCTGGTGTGGGGGGCTTTGGCCAGTGAAGACTCACATCAACTCTTGGCTTAAATTCACTTGTTACAAATGCCAGTTAAATTCCTAAAATGTAGCAACTTGGCTTCAGTTTCACTTTCTTTTTCTCTTTTCTGAGCCCCAGTCTTGTTAATTTACTTATGTATCTTATGCCCATGAAACAGTCAAAGAATCGAGCACCGAGCTCTGTTGGACATATTGGTGAGAGTAAGGACAACAGTTTGAGGGTTCAAGCGCACCCCCCAAACAGCAGGTTTTTCACATGTCCGTGTGCCTGTCACCCTCGACAGTGGGAGGCCCGAGAGGAGTCATCTAGGCAGACTGCCCAGGCAGCAGTGCACCCGGGTCCTCCCGAGAGGAGAGGAGGGGAGCCGGCTTCACCTGCTCTGATCGTGCTTGTCGGGGGGGGGGGGCAGTGATGAAAGGAAGAGCGTCCTTGAGAGGCATGGTCAGGGTGACCACGGCCAGTGGCTTTGAGCACAGCAGAGGGTGAGGACCCTGGGGGGCTGTGCACGGGGTCACTGGGTCAGACTCGATGGCCCGTTAGAGCAGTGCTGCAGGCCCCAACTGATTTCCCGTCCCTGTCGTTGGACCTTTGAAGTCTAGAGTTTGGCTGTTCCACCCAGTTTCTGGGTTTGCTGCTACCTGCTGGACATTTCTGTCTCACTTTAATCCTTGAGGGTGCTTTACTGGACTCCTCTGAACTCTGTGGAGCAGCACCGTTGGTGGCTCAGCACGCCCTGCTCCTGGCTCTGTAGCCCCCACAGTTCTGTTGTTTAAAAACTTTATCGTTATTTTGAAATTGGCGGTTTCAGATAATGTAGCAGTTGAGGATTTGGGGTTTTCCCTCCCCCTGAGGGTGCTAGAGAAACTGGTGACAGTGCGGCAAACTGAAAGGTTAGTACTTTGAACCCAGCAGCCACCCCAGGGACAGTGATGGGCAGTCTCCGGGAAAGATTCTCAGCCTCCGGAACGGGTGAGGTCGCCACCAGCTGGAACTGACCCTGGGCCATGGCTGTGAGTTTTGGTTGCCTGGTTGATAACCATGTCACGGGACCATGAGCCTTCGCATGAGGGGACTGCATTGCCGTCCCAGAAACCCAGCTGCTTTGTAGGAGAAAGATGGGAAGGCAGCCACCATGTGATACCAGCCTCTGAAACCCGCTGGGGGGTCACCATGAGTCTGCTCCAACCCACGGCACACAGCACAGTGTTGTCAGCACGACTGTGGCCCTGTTGCGGGGCCGGTGCTGGGTCAGGTCACTTTCCACTGTCATACAGGGGGTCACAGTGAGGAGGTATGGCTTGATCGCCCTGTGACAGTTGCTGAGCTGAGGCCTGGAGTAGTTCAGACACCTAACGTCTTCCCAGCCGCGGCCACTGTTGAATAGCTGTCTGCACGCTGGCCCATCCCTCAGCTGGCTTGTGACCACTAGCCTTGACTCTGCTCTCTGACCTTGACTTGCTCAGTCGTCTTGGAGCCTCCTTCTGGCCTGAAGCTTCTTGGACTCCTCTGACTCGTGATTTGCTCTCCTCAGCACCCCCAGACGCTTCTCTCCTGAGGTCTGACCCACAGACCAGGGACTTAGAGCATTTGCAAACACATGAGCCACTTCCTTGACGTTAAACTCACTCTGTGTGTGCGTGATAGATAGATACACATACGTTTATGGAAGCTTTGCTGCTTGTGCTTCTCTAGAGAACCAGGCGGTGGTGGCGGTGGCGGTGGCGGCGGGGACGGTAGCTGGGTGCCAGCAAGCTGGCTGGCTCTTAGCAGCCCTGTGAACAGCAGATTCCCGGGCCTTCTGCTCAGTGAGTTGTGTTTTGCTGTGGTAGCTGGCGAGGGTCTGCTGGGCACATTCTGCCTCCCGTGGTCCCAGGGTTTGTGTTTCAAGTCATTGTGATGTCTCAGCCTGCTCTCCGTGTCACCTGGTGTCTACACCGCTGCGTGCTCAGCCAGTGACCCATCAGAGCTGAGCTCAAAACACCTGGTCTCCGCGCTCCTTGTCAGCAGCTCGTGTGTGGGCTGAGTGGCCACTCTGATGTTAGTAGAACTTCCAGGTCTCGTGTGTGTGTGTGTGTGTGTGTGTGTGTGTACACGTGCGCGCACATGCGTGGACATGGGCAGCCTCCAGCCAGGGCAGTGGGTGAGCCAGTGCCTGCGTGTGTGTGCGTGTGCGTGCCCCACCCCACCAGTCAGGGCAGCGCTGGCTCTCTCATGTGGGTGTGCATGTGTCTTTGAAGCTACCAGGGACGTGGAGGAGTTCGTCCCATTGTTGGTGAAGCTTCTCTCTTGAATTGTGGATTATCTCTGGCCTGGGGCTTGCCTCCCGTGGGCCCCAGGGTCGCAGAGCTGGAGCCTTTCCCCTCTGTCCTCCGGGAGGCCACCATGTTTCTGTCAGCGCTTTTGTGGCACTGCTGATTTCCGCTCTCTGTGAAGCAGGTCAGCTCCCTCGGGCTCTTGGTCACTGGCCTCATCCGGGTGGGTCACGATGCTGGAACAGGCCAAGCCAGCGGGCGAGCAGGCAGACCAGCCCGGGCAAACATGTTGCAGATGTATTGCTCTTGTCCAGAAGTGATGCACATAGATGTTTCCAAACTTGTCCACATGCAGTTGATTTCCAGGACCTGGAAATGGGCTTTTTCACATTATCACATTGTCAGTCACTTTGGGGGCTTTTCCTGATCTCTTCCACTGGTGGCTTCAATCCTCATCTGCTTGCATTTCTCCACAGCAAATCATAAAGTGTCCTGTCTTATTTCAAAGAACTCAGGTCAAGGCTACCACAGTGGTGGGCGACCCTCGGAGGTGGGGCACCCTCAGTGGTGCGGGACCCTCACTGGGAATGCGCTTTGGGTCTAAATACATTCTGATTGTAACCATGTGGACTTTAACCTTTTAAAAGACAGTTAACAATCTGGAATAAGAGGTTTATTACCAAAGAGGCTGAGAGATGGAAGGGGGAGGAAAATGTGCAACACTGAATGAATGAAAACCCAGACTTCCTGTAAAGTACAGCAAGGAAAGATTTGTTTTCAAAGAGAAAAGCGTACTCGGGGGTGAGGGAACAGGGAGGGAAATGTGCAACAGTGAATGAGTGGAAATCCAAGTTCTGTATAAACTCTCGTTGTTGTTGTTGTTGTTGTTGTTGTGTGCCATCGAGTCACTTGCGACTCATAGCAACCCTGTGCACAAGAGCCCCAAACACCATTCTATCCTGTGCCAACCTAGCCATTTCAAACACACTCATTCCCACCACTCCACTCACAGAATCGATCCATCTCATTGAAGGTCTTCCGCTCCTTCGCTTCCGCTCCACTCTCCCAAACATGATGTCCCTCTCCAAGGACCAGTCCCTCCTTGCAGCATGCCCAAAGTATGTCAGACGAAGCCTCAGAATCCTTGACTCCAAGGAGCATTCTGGCTTCACCCTCTCCGGGACAAACCTGCTTGTTCTCCTAGCAGTCCATGGTATATTCAACACTCTTCTCCAGCACCACAACTCAAAGGCATCAATTCTATCATCCCTATTCACTGTCCAACTCTCCAATACATAACACATAAGTGCAAAGACTATAGCCTGGATCAGGCATGCCTTAGTCTCCAGCCTGACATCATTGCACTTCAGTACTCTTGAGAGGTCCCTGACAGCTGACTTTCCCAATGCAGTTCATCTCTTGATTTCCTGGCTGCTGGTACCAAGAGTGTTGACTGTGGAGCCAAGTAAATGAAAACTGTTAACTATCCCAACCTCTTCACCATCCATACTGATGCTGCCAGTTGGCCCAGTTGTGAGAATTTTTGTTTCCTTGATGTTGAGCTTCAATCAATCCATATTGAAAACTGCAGTCCTTGACCTCCTGCAGCAAGCGCTTTAGGCCCTCCTCAGTTTCAGCGAGCAGGGTTGTGTCATCTGCATAACACAGGTCGTTGATGATTCTTCCACCAATCCTGATGCCACATTCCTCCTCCTACAGCCCAGCGTCTCGGATGATCTGTTCTGCATACAGATTGAAAAGGCATGGAGACAAAATACATCCCTGGTGGACCCCCTTCTTGATTTTGAATCATCCAGTGTCTCCCTGTTTTGTTCTGACGACTGCCTCTTGGTCCAAGTATAGGTTTCACATTAGCACAATCAAATGTTCTGGGATTCCCATTCTTCTCAGAGTCAGCCACAGCTTGTTGTGATCCACACAGTCAAAAGCCTTTGCATAGTCAATAAAGCACAAACAGACATTCTTCTGGTATTCTCTTCTTTCTGCCAGGATCCATCTAACATTTAGCTCTAATATCCCTAGTACCACGACCTCTTCTAAATCCAGCCTGCACATCTGGCAGTTCTCTGTTGACATATTGTTCCAAACATTTTTGGATAATTTTCAGCAGAATCTTGCTTGCGTGTGATATCAATGATATTGTTCGATAATTTCCACATTCTGTTGGGTCACCTTTCTTTGGAATGGGAACAAATATTGATCTCTTCCAGTCAAAATCACAGTAAAAAAAGACAAAACCAGCTTCTAGCTGTGCTGTCTAGTGGGACCCAGCTCAGCTGACCCTCTGAGGTTTCCAGAGGCTCTGACCACATACACCTTCAGAAGCAGAGATGGCCCATCTTGCCCCCCCAAGGGGCTGCTGGTGGGTTCACACCACCTTCGTGGGGGTTTGGCTGCACAATGCCCTGCTCATTAGACCACCAGAGTCTATACTTAAGAATTTGAGGGGACACTATAACAACATAAAAGTTAACAATCCAATTGAAAAATGGGCACAGGATATGAACAGACACTTTGCCAAAGAAGACATGCAGATGGCCAACAAACACATGAAGAAAAGTTCAAAATCCCCAGCTCTAAGAGAGATGCAAATCAAAATAACTATGAGATACCATCTTACCCCAGGAAGAATAGCAAAACTCAACAGAGCAGCAAACAGCAAATGCTGGCAAGGTTGTGGAGAGACTGGAACCCTTATTCACTGTTGGTGGAAGCGTAAAATGGTGCAACCACTGTGGAAGGCGGTATGATGCCTTATTAAAAAGTTGGAAATGGAAATACCATTTGACACAGCAATTCCACTACTGGGAATATACCCTAAAGAAACCATAATTGTCCACCCAAGCAGATATATGCACATCCATGTTTACTGCAGCTGTGTTCACAATACCAAGGAGTTAGAAACAACCCAAGTGCCCATCAACAAATGAATGGATAGAGAAGCTGTGGTATATTCACACAATGGAATACTACGCTGCATTGGAAAACGAGGAACTCATGCAATACACAAAATGGGTGATGCTGGAGGACATTGTCTTGATTGAAATATGTCCGTCATAAAAGGACAAATACTGCATAGTGCCACTGTTGTAAAATGGGACTGACATCAAGGTTGGGGGAACCTAAGAAAAGAGGGGCTAAATAATGTATACTGCATTGAAACAGATGAGGGAGAGAACTGTTTAAAAGGAACGTAGGATTAGTTATTTTCATGACAATATTACAGAAAGAGAAATGCATAGTAAAAGTGGACTGTGGAGTTGAAGGGGGTTGTATAACAATGAAAATTTTTTTCCCAAAGATAAAAATGAACTGGGGGGAGGGGTGGGCAGGGAGGAAAATATGCATCAGTGAATGAATGGGGGGAAATTAAATGGAAAGAAAATAATGTAAAATATATATATATGTTGCATTAAAAATCATTAATTAAAAAAGATCCTAAAAAAATAATTTGAGGGGAAAATAGTGTTTTAAGAGTTTTCTAACCATAATTGTTTATACTGTTAGTGTACCATGGCTGACACTGAGAAGAATGGCCTTCCTAGCACACTGGATTGTGCTTAATGGAAACCTATCCTTTGACCAGGAGGCAGTCATCAGAACAGAGCAAGAAAACACTGCATGGTTCAAAATCAGGAAAGGTGTCTGCCAGGGATGCGTCCTATCTCCACACCTTTTCAATCTATATGAAGAGCAGATGATCCGGGAGTCTGGGCTCTATGAGGAGAAGTATGAAATCAAGATTGGAGGAAGAGTCATCGTCTTGCATTATGGTCATGACACAACCCTGCTTGCCAAAACTGAGGAGGACCTGAGGCATTTGCTGCAGAAGGTCAAGATTTTAACCTTAAAAAAAAAAAAGAAGATTTTAACCTTCAATATGAATTGAAGCTCAACATTGAGAAAACAAGGATTCTCACAACTGGGCCAATTGAGAGCATCATCCTAGACAGTGATTGTTAACAGCTTTGCCTCGCTTGGCTCCACAGTCAACATTCTTGGTACCAGCAGCAAGGAAATCTAAAGACAAATTGCATTGGGAAAATTTACTGTCCGAGACAGCTCCAGAGTACTGAAGAGCGATGATATCAGTCTAGAGTCTAAGGTGCACCTGAGCCAGGTCATGTTCTTCGCAGTTAAGATGGGCAGTGACGAAGGTTAACAGAAGAATTGATGCCTTCGAGTTACAGTGCTGGAGGAGAACAGATTTGTCTTGGAGAGGATGAAACCAAGCTGCTGCTTGGAGGCAAGGATTTTGAAGCTCCGTCTGATGTACTTTGGGTATGTTGCAAGGAGGGATTAGTCCTTAGAGAGGGACATCATGCTTGGAAGGGTGGAGGGACAATGCAAAAGAGGAAGACCCCGGATAAGAACGGTTGACTCAGTGACTGGGGTGTGTCAGAGACAGTGAGCTTGGCTCAAGATAGAGCAGGGTTCAGAGCTGTTGTACATGGGGTCACTATGAGTTGGAAATGATTTGATGGCACGAAACAACATATAGAAGATATTTTTCAGTGTTCTTTTTTAATTTTAGTTTATTCTGTCAGTTGAAGCCAAGAGAGAGAATTGTCCCTAAATGGCACGAGAAGCCGTATGTCTGGAATCTGGTGAGTGGACGCCGTTGGCATGGTGACCCTGCACACACAGGACCAAGGCCACCCCTCCTAGGCTGTCTTCACAGTGGCTTTGAGTTTGTCATCTCCGTTTGCCCCGCTCTATCTTGTTGAGCTTCCTCCCTCCTATCCCAGCCCTCTCCCTTCCCCTGCATGAGGCCCATCATCCCAGGACGTCCTCTGGGCAGTCGGATTCTATCCATGGCCTCTCTCTGAGTCAGAAATTACTTGGTGGCACCTAACAACACAGCAGAGTTGAATGTGTCTAAGCTTTGAGTAAATGACCTTGGAGAAGTGAGTGTATTATTAGTGTGTGCGTGCACGCTTACACATAACTGCATCTACGTATTCTGTCGTGTCCCCCTGGTGGCAAGTGCGCCTGCCTTTCTTTCCCTTTCTTGTCTCACCAGGTTGACCCGAAGCTGGTCATGGAGCAGGCCGACCGGGAGAACAGCAAGGGGAAGAGCGCCTCTCTGTACCAGCTCCACAAGCTGGTGGTGCTGAGTGCCTAGCTGTCAGCGGCCACCATCTGACCAGCCCGGGGAGACCCAGAGCGACTCTCCTGTACCTAAGATGCCAGTTAACTCTGCCCACTGCCCAGGAGGCCCATCCAGACCCAACTCTTCATTTGGGGGAAATGTTCTGGAAGAAGGCTTTTCTGGAAAAGAGCTGTGTGTTGCTTTATGAAGGTGAATGTCAGTGCCCAGGGCGTGTCCTGTTAGAGGGGTTGGACCTAGGCACCACAGAGGAGCAGAGCTTTCTCCTAAAAACCATGTGGCATTGTGTTTTTTTTTTATTTTTTCTTTCTTTCTTCTGCAAGGGAAGATACCTAATTTTTATAAAACTTGCTTCAGTTTTGTACATTTTAGATTTTTAAGTTTGAGTTTTCAGTACACATATCCTGGAGACAACCTGTCTGTTAAACAATAAAAGCAGTAGACTGAGTTTTTGTCTTTGATGGGTTTTAGTCAGAGGAAATTAAAATGTGGTGGTGGTGGTGGTGGTGGTGGTATTATGTACTGTCAAGTTGCCTGCTACTCACAGTGACCCTTGTACAACGGCCCTAAACCCTGCTCTCACTGTCTCTGACACACCTGTCCCCATTACCCCAGTTACTGAATCAGTCCACTCCATTCAGGGCCTTCCTCTCCTGCGCTGTCCCTCCACTCTCCCAGGCATAATGTCCCTCTCCAAGGACTGGTCCCTCTTTGAGACATGTCCAAAGTATGTCAGACGAAGCTTCAGAATCCTTGCCTCCAAGGAGCAGCCTGGTTTCACCCTCTCCAGGGTGAACCTGTTTATTCTTTTAGCAGTTCCTGGTATATTCAATACTCTTCTCCAGCACCACAGCTCAAAGGCATCAGTTGTCCTTCTGTCATCCCTAGTCATTGTCCAGCTCTCTGAAGGTGATGCAGTGTGCCCATGAAGACAGCCCTGGAAGCCCCCAGAGTTGACCAAGTCAGTGGCACGAGGTGTGCCCTTGGTCACTGTAGGTGTGGAAAAGTGAAGGTTATGGACAGCAGAGGCAGGGAGGTGAAGAGTCCACAGTCACCTGAAGTGGCCTTGGCCTCTTAGGAACTGTGCCGTTTTCTGGGATTGATCTTCAAACAGATCACTGGGGAGCTCATGCAGAGAGGGGCCAGCATGGCCTATAGAACCCCTACCCAGGGGCCTCGTACTCGAAGCCTCATGAGCCCAACTGGACCTGAGGGGCTGACCGCCAAGCTGAGAGCAGACGGTGCTGTGGTTGGCTGTCGCTGCATGTCAGCCTCTGCCCCAGTTCCACCTGCATCCCCAGGTAAGCTTTGATCAGAAGTGTTCAGGTGGGGTCCACACTGAAGGTGGGATCAGGCATTCCGGGGCCACATCGTAAGTGAGGTCCGCACTGAAGGTGGGATCCGTTGTCCAGGGCCACATTGTAGGTGGGGTCTGCACTGAAGGTGGGATCAGGCATTCCAGGGCCACATCGTAGGTGCTGTCCGCCCTGAAGGTGGGATCCGTTGTCCAGGGCCACATTGTAGGTGCGGTCCGCACTGAAGGTGGGATCTGTTGTTTAGGGCCATGTTGTAGGTGGGGTCCACACTGGAGTAGGAGTGGGCGTTCTGGGCTGAGCCTGACGTGGGAGGTGGCAGTCCTGAGGCTTCAGAACTCAGCATTGGGAAGTACGTTTTCACATGGTGTGGGAAGAGGATGCTCTGTCTCTAAATAAAGGAATGGGACATGAAGCCCCATGAAAGACAGAACAGATAGAAAAGCAGGCTTAGGCAGAGCCCTTACTGTAAAACTGTCTCTTCCCCCAAGTTGTGTTCTGTGCCATCGAGCTGTCTGTGACTCATAATGACCTTGTGAACGACGACTGAATCTTACACTGTCCTGAGTCACTCACGGGCTGACACACCGGCCCTGTGACTACATTTACTATCACTCCGTAGTGCAGATGCTTCCTCTCTCTGCTCCCTGTCTGCCTTCCAACATGATGTCCTTCTCCAAGGAAGGACTGACCTCCCCTGATAACATGTCCAAAGGATGTAAGGCTGCACTTCACCATACACACCTCAAGAAGCACCCTTCCAACAGGGATTTTAAAATGTGGGTAAAAACATCTTAAAATGCGAGTGTAGTATGTGCCTCAGAATAGTCTATGCATAGCAGCAGGGGGAGACCAGAAAGGTGCTGGAATCGGCTGGAATAGCTCCATGGAGTGAGGGCATCACAGAGGGAGGAGCCGGGCAGGATGGTACATCCGGGAGTAAGCAGTGCCTTGGGATCCTCAGTGGTCATTCTGCTGGGTGGTGTCTGCTGTGTGGCAGTAGTGCAAGTGCAGTTTGTGCATGAAGGGGGACCTGTGAACTAGTGGGGGTGGCACACAGGCTGTCCAGTGAGAAAGTGTAGGAAAGACTAGTATTTCAACATTGGGAAGGAAAATGCAGGACCCAGTTAACTGTGTGAACATACACAGTGCATTGTTGGTACAACGTGTAGCTATTTGAAGGACATTAGAAAAACAGCTTTACACCTGACAGATGGTTAATAGAAGCCTTAAAGAAACCTTTTTTTAAAATGGCCAGGAAAGAGGAATGAGTGAATTCTCTGAATGGATGACTGGCCAGCCAACAGAGATGGTGGGTTTCCCTAGGAGTGAGGAGAGTTCTGTGGCGGGGAGCCGGTTGTTCTGGGGCCAAGTGCCTCTCCCTCCAGTGGGGGCAGGGGAGCAGAGGGGCGCTTGCATTGGTGGTGAAATAGGAAGTGCTCTCCTGCTGGTGAAAATGACCGTGGCTGCACATGTTAGCCTTGGAATAGACAGCATCCTGGCCGTAACTAAGAATACAGACCCAGCGTGTGTGTGCGTTCCCTTAGCAGGGTCCTCATGGTCACTGAGGAAGGCCAGGATGGGGCACCTCTGCTTGGCCTCAAGTCCTGCCCAGGGCACCTCCCTGACACCAGACCAGGCCAGGCCCACAGCTGCTGGAAGAGACAGACCTTCCTCCTGGGCCACAGACACTTAATAGCTGGCAGTCTGGATGTGAACTTTGCAGCCTAAGATGTCAGAGACTGTGTGTTAAAGCCCCCCCCACCTTGGGTCTCTGGTCCAGCAGCACTGGAGAATCAAGGGACTGCGGCAGTAACCTTGAGGAGGCCGTGGATCTGAGCAAGGGCAAGGTTTCCATGGATTGTTCAGAGTTACTCTAAATTGTAGTCGACTCCATGGCAGTAACAACATAACCAAAGTGTCCCCCAGGTCCAATAGTGAGGTAAGTTATAACTGCACCCTGAGCAGTACAGTGCAGAATGAAGGGGGCCCCTTTTATCTGCAGGATGCAGTAGGTATGCAGGGGGGAGAGGAAACTCCAGAGGTAAGGGGTTGAACTGACCACCCAAAGGCATGCAGTTGGAGTGCACTAGCTGTGCTGAGGGGAACTAGATGGGCGATGTCCTCTGTCATGAGGTTTCCATGGAGACCACGGAGCATCAGCTAGGAGTCGGTTCTGATTGACAGTACGGAGCAGTGACACTGTGTGGAGAGAGAAAAGCAAGAGGAAGAAAGAGGCAGGGAGGTGTGCTAGATCTCACCTGGGTGTGCTTGTGTGTGTGTGTGTGAGGGTGGGAGGGTGGATGGGTGTGTGCATGCGTGTGTGAAAGCTGAGTGGTATTACAAGCACAGATGTGCAAGGACCCATCCCATATAAGCACCTGTGGTACTCATGATGGGAGGAAGTGGAATTGGGGTGGTGTCCATGAGGGTGGGTAAGAGCCGGGGCAGGAATCTGGTCATATGTAGGTGAAAATGTATTTCAGTCACTTTCTCTGATTTCGAGAGCTGGACACTGAAGAATTATGACCAAAGCATCCATGCCTGTGAGTTGTGGTCCTGGAGAAGAGAATTGAACATCCTTGGACTAACAAGAACAAACACAGCTGTCCTGGAGACGGTGAGACCAGGTGACTCCTTGGTTCTAAAGTTCTGTCTCACATTGTTAAAAGCATGACTCAATGTTGGGACAAACAGGGCAGAGCAAAAGGTCTTGGTAAAGCATTCCACTGAAGGACCACCGTACCGGTAGCCCTACCCTGTCCTGAGCAGACGGCGAAGACCCAAGACTCCAAGACACCGGCTTGATGCAACAGCAAGAGGAGAGGTTTATTGCGGAGCTCCGGGCCGACACATATCTCTCGCAGGAGATAGAGGAGTCGACCCTGAGCAGACAAAGTTGGCTCTTTTTATACACTTTAGGGGGATACAACTGGGTATCAGCTTCTCATTGGGTGATGAAAGCACAGTTTGAATTCATTGGTT